GCGCTTTGCCGCTGAGCTAAATCCCCAGCCCTCATTTATATTTTTGACAGCTTAAATCCTGTTGTTCAAATGTCAGGGGTTACCAAGCTTGGTGGCACAGACCTGCTATTCCAGTTATTAAAGGAGGTTGAAACAGGATGGTTACTGATGCCCAGAACTGGGAAACAGCAAAATGCCACATTAAGGAAAGGGAAAAAAGTTAAGGACTTGAGAGCATTCATTCCTTGCTTCTACTCTTCTTCCCCACATTCCTTCATCCACAGGACGTCTCGAGTTGTAGTAACTCTGATCTGTGATGAGGGAGGACCTGGACATATACTGTACTTTATTTTTCCCTCTATTGAAGGGGTCTACTGTGACTTACCCAGACAAAATTAGATTTCTAGAAATTCCTCTGAGGTCCATTTTTAATATGCTATCCCAGGTATGGCCTGCACTGCCTCTCACTTGGATCTTTCTCTAGGGAAGGGCATCCGTGTCCTGCAAGGGGAGATGCAGCTAGTCAGCTGGTTCAGACACCTGCCGGCATCTGTCACTGAGTTCCAGCCAGTGCTGCAAACTCTGACACATCCTGTCAGCCAGGAATACCTGAGAGACACACTACAGAAATGGATCACCCTGTAAGTAGCCAGAAGCGCACCTCTGAGGGGGGCTTGGCCCCCGTACAGCCTGGGATGTGGCCATAGAAGGCCAGTGAGGCTTGTGCAGAGAATCCCAGTCACTTGGGTGAAGTGCCACATGCATTCCCATGTGGGAGAACCCAGGAAGAAAACTGTCTTTCAAAATATTATGTAGGGGCTCTTAAGTTCTCTTTAAGTAAGAATATTGCAATTCCTAAAATTTTATTTCTTGCACTGCACTGATGTTTGTATCCAGTCCATGGGGGTTTAGATTTCATTATATCATCAGCGAAGCAAGAATTGAGAGAGTTGCAGACTCCATGTTCAAGTTCAGCCAGAAATATTGACATATAAGTGCTCTGAATATATATAGACCCAGGTAAGACATTTTTAAGCTGTGTGATCTCATATGTCTGTAATACCAGAACTTTGGGAAGCTAAGGAAGGTGGATTAAAATTTGAGCCCAGCCTGGGCAACTAAATACCACTGCCAGATCTTATCTCTAAATAAAGTTTTAAAAAACA